CTCAAATGGATATTTAAAATGATCTTTTGTTGGGTGCTCTAAAAGATGTTGCTTTTGTCAAGAAAATGTGAGAGTTTCTACTTAATGTTACGATTAAAAGTGGACTTTTTTTTTTATTACTTTCAGTAAATGATCATGACATTTGCGCTTTCAGTGCTTATCCTGATTTATTAGCTTGTAAATATTGCTTAGTTCATTTTTTTGAATATTACAGCCTCTAAAATAGCATTTTTCGATAACTTTATGATCATGCCTTTTAAATGTATGTTGCTGATTAGTTGATAGGAAATTTGACAAAAAGAAGAGGATAATGGCGAAGTTTTTAGGTTTTTATGCATTATGTTAATTCAGTTTTCTCTCACGAGAAGTGGGATCATTTGAATTGGAGGTCTTGTGTTTTTCTTTAGAAAATTGGTGCTCGAAGTTTGAATCTCTTTCATTTTCTTGTTTCTATGACCATATAGAGGGAGTGAAATACAATAGTCTTATCTGGATTTAAAGATCACTGCTGCATTGTTATTTTCTGCGTTGTTTGATGAATGATGAATTTGATTCTTGTCTTTTCTCCTTTCTCACGTGTGTTTGCCCGCAAAATGAGTAAAGCTCACTGCATTGGATTCTTTTGTAGAGGATACACTCTGGACCGGGACTCCAGGAAATTATACTAATCCTCATGCCCCAGAAGCCCTCTCAGTAGTCAGAAAACTTGTCGATAATGGCCAGTATGCTGATGCTACAACTGCAGCAGAAAAGCTGTCCCATGCTCCTTCTGATGTATGTATCATCCTTATGCATAATTTACCTTTTCATTTTATCAACGAGTCTTGCAATATAATGCTTGGTTTGCCACCACGTGTGGAGTTTAAGCTCATTGTCATCCTGCACTACCTCCCAAGCATCAAAATCTCAGCTGATTTAGGTGGCAAACAAATAAAATTTGCTATACTGATCAGTTAATACCTTGAGAGTTGAGAAATTATTTTAATTATAGAATAAAGATGGAAGGTTGATTGTGAACATAGCCAAGAACAGATCATTGTGATTAGGACTTCCTGGGTTGGTGCCTGGTGCATTGATGCTTTAGTCTGGATTTTCCTAACCACAAACCAGCAACATATGCTCTGGCTTGGCCTTGTAATGCTTTCTCCTAAAATCTTGTGACGGATCCTATATTCTTTGTTTGCTAAAGCACTACCAATTTCTGGACAGCTTCATAATTGATATGTTTAACAAGCTTTATATTCTGATTATTAAAATGATTTTGTTTTTCATCTTGATATCTCCATTCCACTAAGGTTTGGATTTTTGTGAAAGTTATTGTACTAATGTTTAATTTCTGCTATTGAAGGTTTACCAACTACTTGGTGATATCAAGCTAGAATTTGATAAGTCCCATCTCAAATATGTTGAGAAATCATATCACAGGGAGCTGGACTTGGATACTGCAACCGCCAGAGTAAAATATTCCGTTGGGGATGTAGAATATACTAGGGAATACTTTGCTTCTAATCCTAATCAAGTGATCGCAACAAAGATTTCTGGAAGCAAATCAGGGTCTGTATCATTTACAGTATATCTAGACAGCAAGATGCATCACTATTCATATGTTAAAGGTGAAAATCAGATTATAATGGAAGGAAGTTGTTCTGGTAAAAGGATCCCACCAAAACTGAATGCAGAAGACAATCCAAAGGGAATTCAGTTTACAGCAATTCTCAATTTACAGATTAGTAATAGCAGAGGAGTAGTTCATGTTTTAGATGGCAGGAAGTTGAAGGTTGAAGGTTCAGACTGGGCTACTTTGCTTTTAGTTTCTTCTTCTTCATTTGATGGGCCCTTCACTAAGCCTATAGATTCCAAGAAGGACCCTACTTCAGATTCCTTGAGTGCATTAAAGTCAATAAACAATTTGTCCTATACTGATCTATATGCACATCATTTGGATGATTATCCGAGTCTTTTTCATCGTGTTTCACTCCAGCTTTCAAAAAGCTCCAAGAGGGTTTCGGGAAAGGAGCCTTTGCACATGAAGAAGCATATGGCAAATAATAATGATTTATTTTTCAAGAGAAGTGAAGACGATACAGTTTCAACTGCAGAGAGGGTGAAATCCTTCAAAACTGATGAAGATCCATCCTTGGTGGAGCTATTATTTCAATATGGTCGTTACTTGCTTATTTCCTGTTCAAGGCCTGGAACTCAGGTGGCAAATCTGCAGGGTATATGGAACAGGGATATTGACCCACCATGGGAGTATGTTCAGCATTCCTCCTTCCCTTTTTAATTTTAATTGCATTATATGTTGTGCATTATCTGCCCCGTAGTATGTACTCAACTGTTCCCTTTTGTTCTCATACATGTGCATCTGTGCCTTCATCTACATGAACTTGCAGTGGTATTTGGTGTACAATCTCAGGGTCTTGTTAGCTGTTGGGGTGCACTGAGAACTAGGAAAATGTTGGATTACCCAAATTCTAGTGAGTGCTTTATCTGTCGAGTCTAAAAATATTCTCTCTTCTCCAACAGCATGAGGAGGGTTGATGTAATAAGTGATTTGGTATAAGAATGAAAACATGGTTATCCAAAAATAAAAATAAAAATAAAAATAAAAATTTGGACATTAAGTAGGAGCTGGGAGAGTACTGCTGATGTTGGGTTGTCTTCAATCGTGGGTGAAAATGATATCTTTTTATACCCCTTAAAGAAAGTTTTTTCCTCACTTTAACCTTTGTCTGCCTTTCCTTCTTCCTTTGCTGCCCCAAAGAAGCCGATGGCATCCCAAAATTTTTCCCTCATGTTTTCTCCATAATACTTTGAATTGCACAAAGGTATTGTAGACTTTCATTTGATAGGTCTCTGCACAGAGCCAGGGTTTTTAGATGGACATAGGAGTTGATTGAGAAGTAAGATAAAGTGGGCATTGTGAGGAATGGTATTTCACTTCCCTCCCTGCACATTAGCATGCCAGCTTAAAGCACTTCCTATTTGCATAACATACCAAAGAAATATGACACCTCAAATTTCCTGCAGCTATTCATGTCGAAATCTTCTGTTTAGATGATATTCTTTTATTATTTTTCAGTGGTGCCCAACACTTGAACATCAACCTACAAATGAACTACTGGCCTGCCCTTTCTTGCAATCTAAAAGAGTGTCAGGATCCCTTGTTTGAGTACATCAACTCCCTGTCAATCAATGGGAGTAAGACTGCAAAAGTAAGTTTCCTTTTTCCCAATCATTTCCAGTTGAAGCCTTTCAAAACACTCTAAACGTCCATGTATTTATGTTTGCAAAAAATAGGTTTCCATTTTCCTCACTTATTTGTAGTTAAAGCCTTTCAAAAATTTTCTGTTTCTTCATGTTTTCTCATTGGGCTGGGTTTTCTTCAAGTTGAAGTAATGTTAGAAATACATGGGTCCTACAGCTCAGCAATCTGGCACTCGGCAGTGAGCTTGTTGGTAAAGTACTGAAAATATTTTTAAGCCTTAAATTTGTGCACACAGTGATTAGCAGCTGTTGTGATCCTATAGAAGGGATAATTTAGTTTCTCCTTATTCTGACAATCATACTTTAAGTCAGTTAAGTGCATCTACCTTTAGCAATCAGATGGAAAGTCCAAAACCAGCATGACCCCCCACCCTACCTGGACCCTGATCCAGTCACAAATTATTAAGAATAGTTTCCATTCTCAACAAACTGCATGCTTTTTTTGTGTCTTCGTGATGCTTGAATCTTGAAGTAAAAAGAGATGTCAGGTAACAGAGTGTGCCTGTAGTTTTACTTAACCTTTTTACATTTGAATGTGTAAATTCTCTTATTCAGTGCTGAATATTGCAGGTTAACTATGAAGCTAAAGGTTGGGTTGCACATCAAGTATCTGACATTTGGGCAAAAACATCTCCGGATCGAGGTCAAGCTGTATGGGCTTTGTGGCCAATGGGAGGGGCTTGGCTCTGTACACACTTTTGGGAGCATTATACTTACACGATGGACAAAGTAAGATTCAAACTTGAGTTTAGGATACAAATGAGATGTATGCTAACATAAAACGTAAAGAGGAAGGCCTCACTTCTTTGAGTGATTGATCCTTAAGGATATATCAAAGATATGGTCATTTTGCACCAAGTACAATTGATCTCCTTGTCTAGGAGTAACTTAATTTACAGAAACAAGAGAGTTTGATTTTGATGTTGTTTAACCACTTGCTATTTCTCAACAAATCTCATACATTGATAGGCGCTGGATCAAACCTAGGATATTTGATTCCCAATTCATAACTCAACTTACGTCTCTCTACTAATGTGGATAATTGGCGATACTTGGCATGTACAAGAAAGTGTTGGATGACCAGACATGTCAAACTGGAAATTTTGTCTACTAAGCCTGGCGTTTACTAACTGATTAAAACATTTCAGGGAAGGGTTTGAGTGGCATCATTGCTTCACGGAAATGTATAATTTGTTAGATAGGATGATTGCATTTAATGTAGTAGTCATCACTTGTGTCCACTTAAAGCAACTGACAAACAAGTTACTTAAAATTATTTTTCATATGAATAGAATACCTGTGACGAGACTAGGTTGATATGTAAATTTCTGTTATTACTCAAGTTCAAGGTTGCTGACTAGAGATTTGCTGTTGTAAGGAAAATGTTGATCACTCCAGGTCTCATTTTTATACTACTTCCATAACTTTTCCTCTCCCTAATAATTCATGTGTGGAAACAGAGCATCCAGGATATATGCGTGTTCTTGGAGACGTCACTACTCATTTTGGAGAAAAAAGTTGTATATAGCTTTTTAATACTATATTTACTACAAGTTTTTTAGTCAGTAAATGGTTGCTAATTCATTGCTGCTCAATTAGGATTTTCTAAAAAATAAAGCATACCCGTTGTTGGAAGGATGCTCATTGTTTCTATTGGACTGGTTGATTGAAGGACGTGGAGGATATCTAGAAACTAACCCATCAACTTCTCCAGAGCACATGTTTATTGATCCAGATGGTAAACCTGCTAGTGTGAGCTATTCATCAACCATGGACATGTCAATCATAAAAGAAGTATTTTCTGCAATTATTTCTGCTGCTGAGGTGTACTTTTTTTCTCAGTAACACACCTTGGTCATTTATTTCTGTTTTTCTCTAACATACCTTGGTCATTTATTCCTTTTAGCTCTATTGTGTCTACTAATAAGTTGTTACAATATACATCAGATTTTGGGGAAAAATGAGGATGAAATTGTTCAAAAAGTCCGTGAAGCTCAGCCAAGGCTTTTACCAACAAGAATAGCTAGGGATGGTTCCATTATGGAATGGGTGTGTATCTTGGCTTGAATTTCTTAGTTTTTCTTCCTAATTTTTTTTCCTGGAAGTTAAAATATCCAGAACAAATAATCAAGTTTTGGTTTGCATAGGTGCCAGACATGATAAATTATTTTGGGTTGTCTGACAGGCTGTGGATTTTGAAGATCCAGAGATTCATCACCGGCATGTATCACACCTCTTTGGCCTGTTTCCGGGGCATACAATAACTGTTGAGAAAACTCCGGACCTCTGTAAAGCTGCAGATTATACCCTTTATAAAAGAGGTGTATTATCTACCGACTCAATATACTAGATAGATAATTGATAGCTAAATGTGCAGTTTGGTTTAGTGGTATTTCCACACACAAAAAAAAGATGTTAGAAAGGAAAGGAAAAATCTTAGCTTCCATTTGCCCTTGCAATGCCTGATTTGTGTAGAGATTGCTTCATGCCATTTTGGGCGCTGGAGCATTAAGTGCTACTTTATTTATACCCAATTTAAAATTCAAAACATTCATGTGAGTATTATGTTTCTCCATTGATTATGGTGGTAATTGTCTTATAGAAATGTTTGCGTCACTTTCATTTACCCAAGTTCATTCTTTGAAGGTGTGCATGTTTTCTGAACTTCATCAGTTGTGGCATTGTATGAACAATCTCAATTTGTCTGTATATTTGCCTAATGCATGGACAGGAGAGGAAGGTCCAGGATGGTCAACTACGTGGAAAACTGCATTGTGGGCACGCCTTCACAACAGTGAACATGCATATCGGATGGTTAAACATTTGTTTGACCTAGTGGATCCAGATCATGAAAGCAATTATGAAGGAGGGCTATATGGTAACCTGTTCACTTCACACCCTCCTTTCCAGATCGATGCCAACTTTGGGTAGGTAACACTGTTTTGTGATATTGAAAGTGCAAGTAATTATTAGTTCTATTTGTATCTAGCTTATTTATGGTGGCCTGGCTTGAGTTTCAAGTAATTGGGATATCAATGCCATGGAATGATTGAAGAGAAAGTATGGAGTACAGGACCAATATTTGACCTTGTTGGGATGAAGATTGACGTCAAATGCCTGTGAAACAATATTTTTTTGAAGTTCATCTCATTGCATCCTAAGAACCCATTTAGAGGAGTGTAAAAGGCTGAACTTACGTAAGGGTCAACTTTCATAGTGATGAAGAAGATCCAGTTTTATGTTCAAATGATATGAGCTTTATAAATAATTGATATTACATATTTTTATCACCATATAGCATTTCCACGTCGGAAATCATCAATGACCTTTGAGAGGTCGCCGTCCAAGTATCTACGTGACCCTCCTTAATATGTTTCCTATAGGACAGCATATATTTGAACAATGTATGAATTCTGGATGAGAAGTTGAATCCAAAAGTTGATTTGGAGAACGGTTATTACTAATAAATCAATAATGTTGGTTACATGCAATTTTCTTAATTTTGTGATCTGTTTTCATTTCAGTTTTTCCGCAGCAATAGCTGAAATGCTAGTCCAGAGCACCGTAAAAGATCTGTACTTACTCCCTGCTCTTCCTCGATATAAGTGGGCGAATGGTTGCGTGAAAGGACTGAAGGCACGAGGTGGGGTGACAGTCAATGTATGCTGGAAAGAAGGGGATCTTCATGAAGTTGGTCTTTGGTCGAAGGAACATCATTCTATTAAACGATTACATTACAGAGGAACAACAGTGAGCGCAAACTTATCACCTGGTAGAGTTTACACATTCAATAGACAGTTGAGATGCATAAAGACGTACTCTCATCCATCAGCAACTTCCTATTGAAAGTAGAGATAAAGTATCTTTAGATCAATATTATTCAGGCATTCTGTGATAAATCTGGCTATGAATTACGATTTTTTTAAATATATCAAACACACATTTTCTTATGAATACATCTACCACGACTACTACGTTCTTTTTTCGTTCTCCTTCATTTCCTATTCGGTTGCTACCCGGTCTCCAGTAAAGAAGTAAATTAGCCTTAATTTGAGACCTTTGAGTATCTTCTGCTCAGCAGTGATGACAAATTTGGCTAAATACTTTCATAGATCATAAAACCTGAAACTAACCGAAGCCAAATCCCACAGCCTCTTACAACCAACTAATCGCTCTTGCCGCATAGAGAAAAGACAGTCTTGTGGAAGATCTGCCTTTTAACTTGGATGGTACTGTTATGAATTAATTAAAGAATAAATGAAAAATGAGCAATCACTTGCTGATAACGATTTTCATAATTCACAGGATCTCCTGCTCCGATCGAATGACAATTCAAACCCAGATCTTTTGCGTCGAATCGTGCAGTGGTATATATATAAAAAAATTTCTTCCCGAACGTGAGTAATGAAAAAAGGTCATTATGTTACGAGTTTTGTCAAGGATCGTGTAGAGCACTAGATTGGTTTACAAAGAGTTCCATGACTATACACTCTAGCCTTGAGACCCACAATGGACCAAGCATAATCATCTGCAGATACAGAAAGATAAAAGAAAGTTGATTGTAAATCATCTCCCTTCATATGTAAGAAAGAAAACAGGGATTCAAGAGAAGTGAAGTCCTCTTAACGTTAGTGTATTTAGGTAAGAAAACGTGACGTTTCCTATGATGAGTTACGAGTAGCGTACTGCTACATAACATGTTCTCTCCATTGAACAACAGGGCATTTACACACAGTATCAGATATGAGCCAGCAATTTCTGTCAAAAAGAAAAGTATTATTGATAACAATATCTGACACAATAAATACGAATCCCATGTATACCTCCCGGCTACAATCTGTCTCAGCCCTCATGCACCTCGTGTGCGTCGCAGGAGTAAACAAATTGTTGTATGATCTCCGAATCTCACTGACCCATTTAATGCGAACTTATTCACCACCTGCATGCTTAACGGGGCAAGAAAAACAAGGTAAAGACAATCCATGTAGTTTCACTCGTGGGAGAGATTATGCCTTACACCGCAACACTTACTAGAAAAAGATTTTTGATACAATCTGTCTTGTCAAAACCTAGATATGTCTGTAAATGAGACGAGATTTATATACATAGCTATCATCAATAGATAGGATAAAGATGGGATTGAAATCCAGGGACTTGCTTATATATGGTTGACCAATGAAACCAACCCCTTTAAAAAGTTTAAGTACCCAAAAAGGTAGATCACATATCGTCGTCCACACTGCAACATCATTGCTTTGCGCTGCTTGTTTTCACACCTTGCCTCAGGCACTTGCTTATAAAGAGTTTACAACAACCTTTTAGCTTTCAGTGTGTAACCTGTTGTGTTTGTGAAAAATAGTAAATGACGGACGATGAGGGATGGGTTCTGCTGCAGCTTGCTACAAAGAAAGATTGGTGGAATCCGAGTTTGATGGAGGATAACAGTGGAGAAGGTCCTAGGCCATTGAAGGTTACCTTTAGTGGGCCAGCTAAGCATTGGTCGGATGCCATTCCGATTGCGAATGGCAGACTTGGTGCCATGATTTGGGGTGGTGTTGCATCAGAAACTCTCCAACTTAATGGCAACTTAATGAATATGACTTCGCGTTTGGAACTACTATATATAAAAGATGTTGCTTTCGTTTCAAGATATGGAAATTCTACTTAATGAGGTACTCTCAGGAAAAGAACATCATGTTTTTCAGTTCAAAATGGATTTTTGTAGCTGATTATGGTATTTGTGGTTTCAGCTCTCAATCTTGATTGATGTAAGAGAATGTTTGCTCAATCTTGATTAATGTAAAAAGATTGTTTTTGTTTAGCTCATCAGTTCACGTGGAGATCTTTTATATGCGTTCTTTTTTCTGTCAATGAAAGTGCAATCAATCATCTATCGGTTCTATATGCAAACTTTAACAAAACATGAATTCCTGATCGAAAGTTAGAATCCAAAAGTTGTGGACACTTTGTGTCAACGACAACGTAATTTACTGACATTTCTCATAATTTTTCAATTTTTATTTCCATTTCAGTTTTCCAGCAGCAATCGCAGAAATGCTAGCGAGAGCACGGCAGAAGACCTGCGCTTACTCCCCGCCCTTTCTCAGGATAAGTGGGCTGATGGTTGTGTAAAGGACTGAAGGAACGAGGCAAGCCGACAGTTACAATATATGCTGGGAGGAAGGCGATCTTCGCGAAGCTGGGCTTTGGTCTAACGAACAGAATTCTTTTAAAGGGCTACATTATAGAGGAACTGTAGTGAAATCAAATCTATCACCTGATAGAGTCTCCTACACATTCAATAGAAAGTTTGAGATGCATTATGCCCTCTCCCATCAGCAGCTTCTTGTTGAATGTTGAGATTAGGTAATTCTTTGACAACAAAAATATTAATAGTTCGTGGATAAATCTGCGAAGTAACTACAGATTCTTTGGAAGTCTACCGTGATTTTAGTTCAAGAAAAATCTTCTGTTCTTTGGCATTGTTCTTCTTATTTACTATATTTCATGTCAATTTTCATGGCCAGATTTTTTCAAAGACCAAATTAGCCCTCATTCACCGTCTTAATCACGTGCAAAGTTTTCCCGCCTAAAACAAGAAGTCGTTACAAATCCTGTAACTTACCGAAGCCAAATCCCACAACCTCTTATAACTAACTAGCAGAAAGAGAGTGAGAGAGAGATCTCAAAGAAAGCCCAAGCCTCTTCTTCTTCTTCTTTTTCTCTAATCTCCTGTACCCTCTACAAAAAAAAAAAAAAACTAAAAAAAATAAATCTCTCCCTAGTCTCTTTATCGGTGAGAAAAATGCAGCAGAGGCCAATAAACAGCTTATGTAGAGCACTTGTTCAGGATCAGGATTACATAATCGAGATAGAAAAGCACATTCAAGAGATGAAATATGCACCAAGAAGGATGGAAAAGAGATCTGGCTATTTTGGCCGTCTTCGCATTCCCAATATGATGAGTGACAAATGGATTCATGCTATTCCCATGGTTGTGTTGCTGTGCCTCTTCACACTCTGGTGGTTCTCTTATCCAGGTGTTTAGTTCATTTCCAGTTTCTTTTACTGGTTTCTGTTATTTAAACTTTGACTGTTTTTCTTATTTGTGCCACTCTATTGATTTTTGTGGGTTCTAGTGTTCAAATAGTGATGGTATGCTGTAATGCAGTTGAAATGTTATATGAGTTCTTAATGTTTTCCTTGAAATTCTTGGTTCTTGATAACGGCATTGACTTAATTTATTTGAGTGATCGTTTCACATTCACGTGTGAGAACCTTGATCTTGAATTCAACTTTAATTAATTAGCTTCTGTATAATCATATCTGTTTCCTCTTGTTTCCACTTTTTCTTTGATACGTAAAAGATTATGTGTTCTTTAATTTTATATTAGAACCCTGTCTTTCTTTTCTTGAATTTATACTTGTTGTGCAAGAAAAAAAAATTATAATACGCAAATGGTGCTTGAAAGGAGTGATCGATGTGGAGAAGGGAAGGAGAAGTAGTTGATTTGCTTTGGAAGGATAGCAAGGCTCCTTTCATAAGCATTTTAACTTCTGGTTGGCTCCCCAAGATAAATCTGTTTGATATGTATGATAATTACACCTCATTAAACAAAATAATTGTAGTGGGTATTCATAAAATAAAAATATTGCAGTTGGTTCAATCGGATGAATCTGATATATTTTGAACAGCAAACAATCTCATTTTCTTGAAATTCATTTGAATTCATCTTCCTAACTATCTATTCTAAGCAATGAAACGGAAATATCTTTTGTGGTCAGATATTAATCTATGAGAATTAGAAATCACTGATATCATCTAATGTTCCCTAGTTAATTACATTGTCTCTTTTCCTATGAAAAAGTGAACTTGGAGATGAAGGATGGCAGGATTGTGGGTATACATCGTGCTGATCATGACACTCCGCTGCCCCTCAACACTAGGCATGTTGCACTTGCTGCATCAGCTACATCCCCAATTGCCCCAGTTCCTGAGGACCTCACACTCAGTAATGAAATTGAAGCACTTCCAGTGAGTAATGAATCATTTGTGCTTTATGAGAATGATGAAGATTTTGCAAAAACTACATACCGTGCTGATCATGAGATGCCGCTGTCTCTCAATACTAATCATGTTGCACTCACCACGACATCAGCTACATCCCCGATTGCACCTGTTCCTCAGGACCTTGCACTCAGTAATGAAACAGAAGAAAATCCGTTGAGTAATGAATCACTTAAGCTTTATGGGAACGATGAGGCTTTTTACAAAGCTGATCATGGGATGCTGCTGCTTCTCAATACTAACCATGTTGCACTCAGCACCTTAGCATCAGTAACATCCCCGGTTGCACCAGTTCCCCAGGACCTCACACTCAAAGATCAGACCGAGGCACATTCTATGAGTAATGAATCCTTTTCGGACTAATGAGAATGATGAAGCTTCTGGAAGAGGCAAACTATCAGCCGACATGAATTGAAGTTGAGATCAGAGGTGCCGTATGGCTATATGGCTCTTCTGTGTTAGCACGGTACTCCCAAGTGTCACTTTCAGAAGATAGTAGAAAACAAGTGTTTCGGTTACATTTAAACAAAAAATTAACCATGAGCTTGTACTGATTTTACCTTGTATGAATAGAACAACAAATGGCTCATTGTAGGTGATTAGTTTTGAGGATTGCAAAATCTGATTTTGCGAGTTTTCTGGTACATTCTAAGCCTGTAAGGTAATTAAAATAGTCCCATGAGGTTTATTTCTATTGATACCATTAACACTGATTTTATTCCTGCATGAATTAGGCATTCTCTGGGCCGGGAAAGGAGATGAAATTGCCCACCATAATTACATGGTGAGACTTTATATGGGAGCAGGTTCTGCAACAGTCCCTTCTTGCTGACAGCAAAATATTGTGTTCACTCAGTAATTAAAGGCATCGACAGTAAGATTTTGACTGCAAGGGTGACTTTTTGCTGATGTTGACATTATCTAAAAATCGCAGCGTACAAGAATTTGTTTATCTCCAGGTTGATCAGGGCAAAGAGGAAAAGGAGGAAATCGTTTCTCTTATGCTCAGTCTCTCTGCATTAACAAGTAGATGTTGATGGGAAACAACTTAATATCTAATTATTTAAAGATTTTTTACCAGATAAATATTCATAAAAAAAATGACTTTAAGTTGATGCTGCAATTTCTCCACTTTTTGGGTAACTCCATGGTTGAAATGAGGTCTCTCAAGATGATCGAATATTACAGTTTCCGTTCATGGCATTCAATGGAATATGACAAATATCAGGTCACCAGTGTTGGCAATGGCTACCGGGACAAAAGATAGGCTATTTGGGTCACATTCGGTCAAAAGATTCAGTTACTATCTATGAACAAATTTATGGCGGCGTTGGCAATGGCTACCGGGACAAAGATAGGCTATTTGGGTCACATTCGGTCAAAAGATTCAGTTACTATCTATGAACAAATTTATGGCGGCGTTGGCAATGGCTACCGGGACAAAGATAGGCTATTTGGGTCACATTCGGTCAAAAGATTCAGTTACTATCTATGAACAAATTTATGGCGGCAGTTACTCTAGGTTTGTTCGAGAATAAAAAAAAGAAGAGATAGATATCTATCTTCTTTGTTGAGAATTTGGTGGGTTCTCTGTAGGAGAGAGAAGCAACTACAAGGATTAATGAGAGAATCAGTTAATCATTGCGCAGAAAGAAAGAAGCAACAACAAAAGGTTTAAGCAGTACCAGAAACAACAATCATGCACATAATCCATCAAAATCAACTTGTAACGGAAGGAATTTGACTGGAAAAAGGTTGACCAAATGATGATCCAAAGGGAATGAAGTTCACTGCTGTTCTTGGTTTACAGACTGGTACTGGTGCGCTTGTGGCACGTCTTATGGATGGCAAGAAGTTGAAGGTTGCTACTGGTAGCTTCATCTTTGAAGGGCTCTTCTTGAATCCTTCAGATTTAAAGAAACATCCTACTTCTGAGTCTCTTCAAGCAATGAACTCAATAAAACATATTTCATATTCACCACGTTTCATTGCAGCTTGAGAAGAGTTCTGCTATAATTATATAGGAGATGGGGTTTTAGAGATCAAGAATCTTGTGCCTTCAGTGGTTAAGGATTTCAAAGGGAACAAAGATGCTGTAGTTTCAACTGTGGTGAGAATAAAGTCTTTGAATCTGATGAAGATCCTTCCTCAGTGGATTTTCTATTCAAGTTTGGTCGATCCTTGCTTATTTCTAGTTCACGCCCTGGAACTCAGGTGGCTGACTTTCAAGGAATATGGAACAAGGATCTTGACCCAGCATGCGAGTATATGTTGCACTCTCCAGTCTTCTTCATTTTCCATCCCCCTCTCCCTCTCCCTCTCCCTCTTTTTTTTGCAATCTATATAAGCATAGAAAGTTCGTTTTTGAGGGGAAAATATGGGGGATCGAGAACAGAAAGATTAGAGTATCAGGAATGACTTCTAAGTATTTATTATTGCTCACAAGCACATAACCATATCTGAAATATTCTTGAGGGAGTGTTTGGGAATGTTTTTTAAAGTAATTTTGTTTGAAAATTAATATATTAAAATATGTATTTTTTATTTTTAACAATTATTTTTGATATAGCATATAAAAATAATTTTTTTTTAAAAAATAATTTTTTTAAATACACTTTCGCGAAGTAAAAACAAACTGGTCTTCCACATCCTTTTTGCATCAAGATTTCGTGTGGACAGCTACTGACCCTTTTATCTCTTTCTTCGGTTCTGCTCCAACCTTGAACATCAATCTTGAAATGAACTACTGGCCTTCCCATCTCTACCGGTCAATGGAAATAAAGTTGAACAAGTGAGAGCCTTTCCATTTCTACCTCACAATATTAAAAGCATTTTGTAATTTATTTGACTGTTTGTTTATTATTTATCTTACTCACTTGATTGTTTGGTCTGATTTGCAACGGCAATAACTCTTAAATTAATCCAAAAATATTAAAAAAATTAATTTAAAACAAGAAAAAACTTCAAATTTTAATGAAAAGTAGATTAGAATTCACCCCCACACACCTTTAAAACGAGGGTATCTTGTATTTTCACCTTGACTTATGAGGTTGGAATTAAAAAGAAATTGTTCCATCCTGTTGTAATGTTGTCTCCCTCCCTCCCTCTCCCTCCCTCCCTTTGTGTTTCTGACAGATTATACATTTGAGAAAGACTTCAAACATAAAAGTATAAAATAACTGAGCAAGAGTAGCTTTCAAACTTGAAAAAATTGTCAAGTTTTGAACACAGAAGTTCTTGATATAGGTGTATCGTGGTCTTGTAGGATATGATCGTGCACGCTGAATGATTTTTAGCTGCTTTCATCTGAAGTGAAGAACATGCAGCTTCAGAATTATATTGAAGTTCTTGGCGAAAGTGTGCAAGATGATATAAAAAAGGCATATTGTGGCTTCAATATCAATATGCATGCTAAGTTAGTCCGAGTTACTTTAACGAATTGCAGTGCTTGTGCAGCTGATAGGTCTTGTCCGCGAATGGGGATGGCGATGTCTTTGAAGTAGTTATTGATCCTACCTGAGGGATTATGCTGCTTGAAAAATTCATCTTATTCCTCGTTTTAAGCTGGTTTCGTATCTGCAAGATTTACCGACTTTTGAAATATGAATTACCAGTGATTTCCAGTTCGATGGAAACAGGGACTTCACTAATGATCAAATAGACAAGTTCAGCATGAAATCCAATCGAACACGACCAACATCTGATCGAGAGTGCGACCAACTGCCAGTCAAAAATAAAGCCTTCATAATATCTATATATATAAACTATTGTATTGCATTGCATTGTATTGTATTGCATTGCACATTAAACTATGATATTTCACTAATATTTTTTAAAATATATTATATATTTTTGGGTCAATATCTTATGCATTAAATAATTTCGATTTGAATTTGAAGGAGACAGTTATGTTTGGTAACGTGGTCTTAAAAATTTTAATTTTTTTATTTAAAATATTTTTTATATTTTAAATTATTTTGATACAGTTAAAAATAATTTTTAAAAACTAAAATTCTTTTATTTTAATATATTTTTAAATAAAAAATACTTTTTTCCTCACCTCAAATCCCAAAGCGCATGAAATAGCAGCTAACACATTGTCCACCCACGCGTTGGAATTAAAATAAATCAACAACAACAACAACGACAAAGATAATCCTGACGGAAGCTGGGTTTTAGTTACACGATCCACGAATAGAGACATGTGGAATCCAACCTCAACTGACTTGGAGGACTCCAAACCCTTGAAGATCACTTCTACTCGGCCCGCCAAGTACTGGACGGATGCAATTCCGATCGGTAATGGCCGTCTCGGTGCCATGGTGTGGGGTGGCGTCTCATCAGAACTTATCCAGCTTAACGGTACGTAAAATAAAAAAGAAAAGCTTGCTTTTCCATTTTTTTATGTTGGTTATCTTTTGTTGAAAATCTAGATACCTCCTTTTCCTTTTGCAGAGGACACACTTTGGACAGGGACTCCGATTGATTATACTAACCCTGATGCACCAGAGGCATTAGCTGAGGTTAGAAATCTTGTGGACAGTGGTGAATTTGCAGAAGCTAGTGATGCAGCAGCCAAGTTGTCTGGAACTAATGCCAATGTATGTTAAACAATCATTATTGATGTTTTCTTGCTCTAGCAATTAAACTCCTTCTATTTTCTCCATGGTTAGATGTTAATAGACGATTAGGATCAACTGGTTTCTGGGGCCCCACATTCGGAATTTATGTGTTTTATTTGATGAAAACTAAACCGAAACTGAACTAAAGCTGCTGACATTGTTACCTTTTTAGGGGCTAACAAATAGAAGAAACTGAACTCAAACTATGTAGTTCTATAACATGATTTTGTAGGCTTTCTACTTGTGTGTTGCTTGCACTTCCATCGCATTATTGCTTGTAACTACCCCTTGCATTTTATTGGTATATTATTTCTAGTTTCCTGGACCTATTTAAACTTCAGGGACTTGAATTATAATGTTGATCGATTAAGTCTATAGAAGAGGCTTTGAAAAGTTTTGGCATTCACATCCTAATGATTTGCATTTGATGATTAAGGCTTACCAACTACTTGGTGATATCAAGCTAGAATTCGATGGTTCCCTTATGTGTGCTGAAGAAACATATTATAGAGAGCTAGACTTAGATACTGCAACAGCAAGAGTGAAGTATTCTGCGGGTGATGTACAATTCACGAGGGAGCACTTTGCATCTTATCCAGATCAAGTGATTGTGACAAAGATTGCTGGAAGCAAAGAAGGGTCTGTATCCTTTACTGTATCTTTAGACAGCAAGTTGGATCATCATTGTTACATAACAGACGAAAGCCAAATTGTAATGGAAGGAAGATGCCCTGGAAAAAGGATCCTGCCAAAAGTAAAGGCTAATGATGATCCAAAAGGAATTCTGTTTGCTGCTGTTCTTGGTTTACAGATTAGTGATGGTGCAGGTCTGATAAGTGTTTTGGATGATGGGAGGTTGAAGGTTGAAGGTGCAAATTGGGTTGTGTTGCATATGGTGGCTTCATCTTCGTTTGAAGGGCCATTCACAAAGCCCTCAGAATCAGAGAAAGATCCTACTTCTGTGTCTCTCCGTGCATTGAAATCAATAAAAAACCAGTCATATTCTGAGCTTTATTCACGTCATTTAGATGACTATCAGAACCTTTTTCACCGTGTTTCATTGCAATTATGCAAGGGCTCTGATAGAAAGATAGGAGATAGATCTTTGGAGATCAAGAATCTTATGCCTTCTGGAAAAAGATGTGTTGAAGGGAACAAAGATGTAGTTCCAACAGTAGACAGGATAAGATCTTTTCAATCTGATGAAGATCCTTCGTTGGTGGAACTTCTATTCCAGTTTGGCCGATATTTGCTTATTTCTAGTTCACGCCCTGGAACTCAGGTGGCTAACCTTCAGGGGATATGGAACAAGGATCTTGAGCCAATGTGGGAGTACGTTACACTCTCTGATCTTCTTGGTTTTCCACTTCCCTCTTTTCTCAATCTATATATGTGTTTGAAGTTTTGATGCCTTCCACTTCTTTCTGCATCAGGATTTCATATAGACCGCTACTGACGCCTTTATCTCTCTCTTCAGTTCTGCTCCTCACTTGAACATCAATCTTGAGATGAACTATTGGCCTTCCCTGCCTTGCAACCTTAGTGAGTGCCAGGAGCCCTTGTTTGAATTTATCAAATCTCTATCAATCAATGGATGTAAAACTGCACAAGTAAGATATCTTTCCATTTCTATCTCATAATTAAAAAACATTTTGTAATTTATTTAACCTTTTATTTATAATTTATTTCACTCACTGGACTGTTTGGTTAGATTTCATGGTGGAGTTTCTCCTCAAACTCTAGCCAATAATTAAGAAATTCAGTTGTTGCAATCAGCACTGTAAGCTTGTAGACTAAGATATGTTCATCTTTGCTTATGAGGTTTCCATGTCAAAATGGCTTGGTTACCAGAGAGTCTTATCCTCAAAGCAGTCCCATACCGTTTACCCTGGCTATCATTCAACTAGGATGGGGGCAATATATATTCTCTAGTCAATGTAGCATCCCAAGACCTTAGCCAGAAAGATCCTCAACCATACCCTGAGTCCCTTGTAGTGTTTTGTGATCTTCATTCTACTTCTCAAATATTTCTTATCTGAGTCTCAGAATGTTTCAGGTAAACTACAAAACAAGTGGTTGGGTGGTGCATCATAAGTCTGACATATGGGCGAAACCATCAGCAGATAAGGGACAGGTTGTGTGGGCAATATGGCCTATGGGCGGGGCATGGCTTTGCACTCATTTATGGGAGCACTACAGTTATACAATGGATGAAGTACGCTATTGATTTTTCCTTAAATTGCCCATTACCTTGCTGTCCTTGATAATTGGCTTTCTCGTTTTGACTTTATGACCAAAGTGGTTGTAGCTTTCCTTAACACCTACTGTGATGAATTGTTTTTAGGACTAAGTTACGGTACATGCAGATTTTATAGAAAGCATAAGATTGCATAAGATCTGATGACCGAGGGGAAGGCCTCTTGCCCTTAAATTCCATAATAGTCTGTTCTATTAATTTCAACACTTTCTAAGATTTGATGGTTTTTATGTTATTAAGTGGCTACTGGACCATCATGTTATTTTCTCCCCCTCTGTTGTTACTGGGCACTGTCATCAACATATCTTTGATTATCTTTTCTCAGAAGAAAATTGTAAATTTTTTTAATGGCATAATTTACATCATGTTTTTTTCTTCCTCTCTGTTATGCTGATATTTTCTAAATGATTAGGATTTTCTTAGAAATAAGGCATACCCTCTGTTGGAAGGATGTGCATCGTTTTTGTTGGACTGGTTGATTGAAGGGCATGGAGGATATCTAGAAACCAACCCGTCCACTTCTCCTGAACATATGTTTATTGCCCCAGATGGTAAGTCTGCTTCTGTGAGCTATTCATCAACTATGGATATGGCACTCATCAAAGAAGTATTTTCTGCGATTATTTCTGCTTCTGAGGTGACACTCTTATTCTCAATGCCTGTAATAATTACAGTTTTGGTATTTGCTAAATTTCCTAATTTTAACTTAAAATTATAAAAAAACTTGTTAAAAACAGGTTTTGGGCAGAAATGAGGATGCTTTTGTTCAGAAAGTGCACAAGGCTCAACCAAGGCTTTATCCAACAAAAATTGATGAAGAAGGCTCTATTATGGAATGGGTGCGCAAGTGGCGTGTATATTTTGTATTGTTGTCCATGTAATGTAGTCCTTTCCTGTATTTTGACTGATGTAATCCTCTCTGTGGTAGTGCAGGCACAAGACTTTAAGGACCCTGATGTGCATCATCGACACCTTTCACATCTGTTTGGCCTGTTTCCAGGGCACTCAATAACCATCGACAAAAATCCAGAGCTTTGTGAAGCAGCAGAAAATTCTCTCTACAAACGAGGTTAGCTTAAATATACAACTAGTTTAGGGGGATTGAGGCTAAATGGTTCCATCCAGCTGTATCACTCTCTCACCTTTACCTGTTCTTTTCTGGTTCTGAAAGATTATATTTGAGACTGATTTCTTGCATAAAAATGTAAAATGAATGTATAAGAGCAAGTTTCAAGCATCAGAAAAATGTTATGCTTTGAAAAGAATAGCTCTCGTTGCAAGAGCAGAATGATATAAAAAGCCCTCTCATGGTGTCATGGAATATCACTAGGCATGCTAAATTATTTTCAGTTATTTTTCATTAAATTGGAGAAATTATGCAGCAGTAAATTATATTGAATTTCTTGATTGAAGTGAAAAAATGTCATGCTTTGAACACTAAAGTTCTTGATGCAAGTGCAAAATATACAACAAGGCCTATTGAGCTTTAACAAAATATCACTGTGCATGCAAAAGTATGTTGAGTTACTTTCATTGGATTAGAGAACTTACGCAGCCAGAGAATTCCATTGAAACTTGTATGCATTGTCCACAGATGAGGATTGTCTACGCCTAAAGGATTACTTTATCTTTCCTGAAATGTTATACTGTTCAAAAGTTCATCTTATATTCCTTCATGATTGTATTTGTAACTTCAGCTGGGACGGCATTGCTTTAGGGTTATAGTCTGGTATTGTGTTACATTGTATTTGTCAATGGAAACAGGAGAGGATGGGCCAGGATGGTCAACCACATGGAAAATTGCTCTATGGGCACATCTGCACAACAGTGACCATTCTTATAGGATGGTTAAGCAATTAATTAAGTTGGTGGATCCAGATCACGAGGTAGCGTTTGAAGGTGGACTGTACAGTAATTTGTTTGCAGCACACCCTCCTTTTCAAATTGATGCCAATTTTGGGTAAGCAGCCTTGTCTATATTATCGATGACAATGCAGTAAACTATCCAAATTAGTTTCTCTCAACGTGTGTCGAAACATATAATCCGGTTTGTAGTTTTAAACAGACGGATACCATCTTCAAATACCACAAACATCTGTGCATGCATTATATCAATGATTTGATAGTGATGTTATTTCTGCAACTTCTGGTTTCAGATTCACCGCGGGGGTTTCAGAAATGCTTGTCCAGAGTAGCATAAAAGATCTGTACTTGCTCCCTGCTCTCCCTCGAGATAAATGGGCAAATGGATGTGTTAAAGGATTAAAGGCACGCGGGGGGTTGACAGCTAGCATATGCTGGAAAGAAGGAGATCTTCATGAAGTTGGTGTTTGGCTGAAGGATGGAAGCTCCTCCCTCCATAAAATACATTATAGAGGAACTACAGTCACAGTAAACTTATCATGTAGAAAGATCTACACATTCAATGCACAGTTAGAGTGTGTAAAGACTCTCTCCCTCTCATGTTAAGAGATAGGGTTCTCTTTCAGCTTTGTTCAATGTCAATACTGAATAAAATTCCATGAGAACGATGCGTGCAAAAAATCTGGCAAGGAACTGACTTCCTTTGTATGTGAACAGCCACAGCGGAAGTGCTTTTGTTTAGAAGCTACGGGCGGCATTGTATTTTATTTTATGTTTCTTTTCTTTTTGACAAAAGCCAAAAACTAGTTTTTTAAAAAAAAGTGAAAAAGACAATAATATGATGTAGAAATTTAAAAAATAAAATAAATTATTTTCATTTTGAAAAATGAAAAAAAATCCAGGCAAACAAAAAAAATATATTTATGTTTTAAAAAATTTGAAAATAAAAGGGGAAAATGGAAATTCTATTTCGTTTAGAGGCATTGTTGGCCCACAGCCCAATTTTCGAACAATATAGTATAGCTCAATTGCTGGCTTTGAATCGATTAGGCCTGGGCCAATAGATACTCCTCTACGACGCCGTGTAACCGACAAACCCAAACATCCTCTCCTCTGAAACTAATAGTCTAAAACCCTAACCAAAACCCTCTCTTTTCGCCCCATTCTCCTTCACACGCTGAAATGGCTTGGCGCAGTGGAGGATCACTCTCGCGTTCGCTCATGTCCGCCGCCAGGGCGCCGCTTCCTCGCTCTTCTGCTCCTCTCCCCCGCCTCCGTCCCCCGCCTTCCTCTGCACCCCGTTTACAATCTCGCCGCTTATCCTTTGCTCCTTCCAGGTAGCCGTCCCTCTTGAATTTTTCTTGATGATTTTCTTTTTCTGAAATATTGTTTCCCAATTTTCATTTTTTGTTTCATTTATATTTCTTTCTATTATGGATAATGAAGCTGTAAAATTGACCTTTTTTTGCGTGATAGGCTAGTGCAGATTTTGTTAATACATTTCACTTATTTTGGTTCGATGGGCTCGTTTGAAATGGAGGGCCTATTCCTGTGGATCCTTAAATTTATGAAATAACTAACGCTAGTAATTCTACATTTCGTAAGAAATCAAGAAAATCCATTTTTAATCTATTTTTGCATATTGTTTGTCGAGGCCAATCTGGGGATGAGAATTTCTTCTTCTCCTATTTTATGGTTTAATGTTTCTCTTTGTTCTTGTGTTGTTGTAGGAACTTGGGAGAACTGGGATGCATGCAGTCGTTCTTGCCTTTGGTGTCCGCGGGGAACTTGACATCGCGTCTCAATGCTAATTTGCGGGCTTTTTGTGAGCTGTCTCATGGTACCTTCTGTCGTTCTTGTCCAGATCGCTAATAGTTTCTTTGTGAGTCTTACTGTTTCTAGGTCGCAAAACAAAGCAAAAACAGAATGTTTTTGAATTGTTGTTATTCATGAACTGCTGTGGCATAACTTCTATTGGAAAGAGAAATCTTTTGGGTTGATATCCATAAGTTTGTCAAAAATGTGTTCAATTCACTAAGTGAGCTATAAAGTAGATTTGTTTTTTGTTGGTTTTATGAAACCTGGTTAATGAGAGGAATTGGGACTGGGATTGATAGGGAGGAATGGAAAAGATGGGTTATGCACGTGGACTTACAGTGGGCTAAAGGCGCGGAATTGATGCCACAATAGTAGGTTTCTATTTTTTTATGTTTCTTATTCTTAAAAAACATAAATGAAGTGCATCAATATTGAGACCAAAGATAAAGCAGAGCCTTCAAGACTAAGAAACATAGAGGCGTTTAGTCAAATGCATCATACATTTCAAATTGACTGTTTGCAAGGTTGTTGTGATCCTTGATTCTTGTGCTGGGCGATCCATCTCTCCTTGATTATTTCACTGTTTATATTAAAGGCTCTCCATATAAATCTATCAATATTACAAGGGAAGAAACCTGCTTTCCATTTGCTTCTGAGATAAACACGTTGCAGTTGGATTTTTCTTCATTTATTGTTTTTGTTGTGTTTTTTTTTTTAATATACTCATAATAAGTTTGTTTGCAACCCACTTTTGGCATATCCCTTTTCCTTTGTTGCTGATAAAAATATGATGAGAAACCCTTTTGGTGCGTTATTTTCTCCGTATAGTTTATCAAAAGAGTCATTACTTAACCCCATGAGAGACTTGTTTCCAGTACTGCATATGGAAATTAGAATTCAGTGGATTCTTTTCCATCAACATAAAAGGCCAGCTATAGATTTTGTCTTGCAATTTTTTTCTTTGATGTGTATAGTTTTCTGCAAATTACAAGTACAAACTAAGGTGTGTTACTGCTCTGTTTTTATTACTTGACAGCTTCATCACAATAAAAAATATCTGTATACAGAAGGAGCCACATGATTTTGTAATCTGTACTGGAAAGGCTGAGTTTTAAATCAATTAATCAGTTTTTATGCTGTTACCAGCAACCAACATTGTTCCTAATTTCTGCTAAAACCTGGAATTAGAAATCTTCGAATTCAAAACTTTTCTGTGGTTAAACTCCAAGATTCTTACTGCTTGAAGGAATTACGCCCCAAGAAACTACGCTTTTCTAGTGGAGAATTCTTGCATGGATTTTGAACCATTACCCTGTTATTGCAGGTACTTGAAGAGCCTTTGGATTAGCACTACCATATGCAACGTTATCTGAAGGAAGTAAGTGACTGGAGTACCATGTGGGATGCTAGGAATTTTGTCGTTTTGGCATGGATAATTAATAATGATGTCATGTTCAATGCTGCATCTGAGATCAATGTTAGGTTTTATATACTCTTCGGACAATCTATTAGATGGTTTTGCAGGCACCTGTATTCACTTGTCGGTTTGTGTGCTCTGTTTCTTTGATTTGTACCTTGTCTCTGGAAGGTCCTGTTGTTGATACATGATGATCAAACTTTTTCTAGTTTTTGGAATCTATGTTCTCGTTCATTGTATAAAAGAATTTTTATGGGCCATCACTACCCCGACCCCGCTGTAAGAGCTCAAGGAGTAGCCAACTGCGCAGGGGAATGCTTGGCGTGGTGGTTTTTTTTTTTTTTAGGGGGGGGGGGGGGGGGGGGGGTGTTGGGAAACAATCAATACAAAGTTCCTTGTATTTGAAGCAAGGAAAAAGAGTAATTCTATGACTTTTCTAGATTTCTCCCATAAAAAATAGAAGTTGCCAATTCAGCCTTCTTTGATTTTTTCCAGTTTCTAACCTTGTTCCCTTACCTGTGTATGCACTATGATTACCATGGCCCGGAATGAAACATTAAGTTGAGACAGTAAATCATCCACCTGTATCTTTTTTCTCCATGCCAGACAGGAGAGATATTAACCATTGCTTCCAAGGAGCATCCTCTTGCTGCTCAAGCCACGATAGAAAACAACTATCTAACAAGCAGAAGAAGTTGACGTACAAAAGTTGATACCTCACTGGTACAAATCGGAAATTTCCAACTTGAACAATTGGCCAAATACCTCCTTCCAAAATAAGAGCTGGTACAAAGTCCCTCTTCAAATCTTCCTTGATTTGAGGAACACTCTTTCCAGATGCAAAACCCATGTAAGAGAAAAATACAAGCAGATCCAGTGGTCCAAAGATAATACCATGGTTGGGTTATGGATTGGGTTTGACCATTCATACCCAAAACAGTGGATTTTTGACACCTCACCTGGTTGGGTTTTGGTACTCATTGAGTATCCCAAATTTAAATGTTATAATCTAGAATTATTTAGTACATTTTTAGGTTATTTATTCATTTTAAGTTCAAGTCAAGTAGACCGGTATCTATACTCAATTCAAAACTTTGACATTTTGTCTTAGAGTTTTTCCCAAAATTAATCAGGATATTACTCAGTCATTATCCTTTGCTATAGGACTGATGATGGAGGATAAGGAAAAAACATGTTTCAATCACGGCCTTTCGAACTCGGAATGAACGATCACTATCTTTTAAACTCGGCCTGGACACTTTCAGTGGACAGTTTTGCCATTAGAATTGATGAATCCCTCAGCATTCTTTTTTGAAGGAACCGTGTTTTCCAACCAAGGCTTGAACCGCTTTGCATTATATTCATGACAATGTCCGTGTTGCATATAATGAGGAGCATCGAGGGCATTTCAGAGTGCTTGAAGCTAGAGAGGGTGATGCTCAGATCCAAGCGTTGTTTCCATACCTAAAACAATTATCCAAAACAGACCTGAACTAGAATGTGCATGGATTCTTGATACCCAATTCAATCGATTTCGAGTAACTATTGAATATCCAAAACTCAAACCTGAATGATATAATTTAAAAAAAATTAATGTATAATTAGCAATTTCTTCAAGCTCTACGGAGCTTAGAGTTTTATTTATTTTAGGTCCGGTTTGGGTCAGGCTAGTATTTATATCCAACCCACAACTCAAATTTTTGCTTGCTGATTAGATTTTTTTTTTCTTCCTATTTATCAGGTTTAGGTGAAATTGCTAATGAGATTTTTAGTAGCATTGCAACTTTTGTTTCCTTGAAACTAGATGCCAGTTCTTTTACAATGGTTTCTAATGGATCAAGATTTCTCCTTTTGCACCAAATTTATAATGGTCATGCCCAATAACAACCAAAATCTTAGAATTTAAAGTTTTTTAAATATATTTATCATTTTTTTCTCTACTAAATTTTCCTTAAATATTTTTTAAAATTTGTCTCTACTAAATTTTCCTTAAATATTTTTTTTAAAATTTTTTTTGCAGGTATCCATAAACATTTATCAAAAAAATTACCTTAACATCAGAGAAAACAACTGTGTACAAAGACATGCAACCGAATCATGATTCAACCACTAAAAAAACTTCTCATATAAATATTCCTAATTTTAACACCTCATCAGTTTCTTTAACTTGAATGGTAATTAGTGGGTTCTTGGTGAGATTTTGCAGGAAGCAATGACTGGATTGGATTGTCCTTCAAGGAGAAGAGTGTATTTTCCAGAAGTTACTGGCTGTGACGAGCAAAATACTGTCAAGTAGCATTAAATGATGCGGCATCTGATTTCTGTTTGACTTTTGACATTCTGTGGAGGAACTCCTTGTAAGCACATGGGATGTCCACAACTGATTAGTGTCTCATACTAGTTATGGTATATGAAACAGCACGAGGGGCTGTTCCTCAGCTTGTGCACCATATCCACTCCATATAGACGTTAATGGAGCATCAAATTCTAACCTGGAGTAATTGGTGGTGTTACCCGTGCAACAGTGTACATCCAATAAACCCAGGCCCCACGTTTGGCTTTAATGTCATTGTCATTAATGAGAATCTTAGAAGGTGCTACTTCAAAACAAACGTTAAAGTTTATTGTGAAAAATGTTGTTCTGGATGCTGAACTATCTTGAATTCAAATGCGTGCCAGCTCCTTACAGGTATCACTTAATTCCGGTGAACTCAAATGCGTGCCAGCTCCTTACAGGTATTACTTAGAGCTATCGGTAGCTTTTGATACATGATATATAATGAATAGGATAGGAAAACACAACTCACTTGTAATGGTGTTTGGTGGATAGTGCACATATGGAATATGGTCTCACAAGGCAGTCTTCCCATGTCCATCTCCTCCGTTCATCAAATATATTGCTGGGGTGCAACAATATAGCCCAACTCATTCGATTCTATGGCCTCGCTGAGGGAAGTCTAGAAGTTTCGACGAATCCGAAAGTTAGCGAGGAAGCTCTGAATCCATCCTGTGCAACAAAGGAACTACTGAATAAGTTCTTCAATAGTTCAATAACTCCACTTCGTTTTCCATGTCTCTTTGTAGAGCAAGCTTGCGCCATTCTGCAGCTGACCATTGGCTAAATGAAAGTAATTGAGTCGATATTCGTTAAAAGGAAGCATTCGGGGCCACATGCAACTTGTTAAAAGTCCATATTGTGCATGACTATTTGTGGAGAACTGATCCCAGGAAAAGGCAAGTCACAAATGAACATCAAGTGCTTGGCATTTTATGTTACAAGTGGAAGGCTTACTTCTGGCCCATGTATAGTGATGACTCCTATCATTATCCCAATTACATAAAAAAAGTGCTGTCTTTTTTCACCGACAGTGCATGAAATGAAAAGAACTCGTATCACAATTTTTCGGATGAGACACACAAAAGTAGCCAGGCAGAACTTTTAACTTCGGAGATTCTTGTGTCTCATCTTTTTCCACCTCCGATCGAGTTTAGTTTTTGGCACAAGAGAAACCAACGTGGAGCCAAATTTCGCAAAACCTAATTCAATCCACAAGAGATGGACAGGCCACTTTGCATCACCATTATTCTTATTCCATTTTTTCGAAGCACTACAGCGGTACATTGATTAAAACCATTTTGTATCTATCTTCTTATGACCAGACATATTGTTGTAGTCCCTTTCAACCATTTCCAGGTGCTTTCCAATTAGCCAATGTGATGGATGTGTCACCAACTGATGCTGGCATGCTGCTTAATTATATCCCACAAATTTCATCTCAAGGAAAGAAAATACGAAATAATACAGTGCTTCCATATCAAACTGGATTTCGAGGGTCCACGGGCAACTGTGAATCCCACTACTTCCTACCACCCTATTGTTGTTTTTTGCCACAACTTTGACCTCAATATCGAGCGAGGCAGCATATCACAGGTGAGGCGTGCAGACGAAACTAGTAAAGTCCCAAACCCTTCTTACCACTGACATGACAACATCGAATGAGAATTAAACCTGAAAGACTAGATAAAAATTCACAAAAAAAAAGAGAGTTAAAAAGACTCCAAAAGTATTATCCCTTGTAATATACAAATTGAATTGGATGAGGAATTTAAAAAAATGAATAACTTAAGAATTTTGAGCATTCGTTAGGATCGCGTCGGAGATAACGCCGACTGAGAATGATAGAAAGTTGACTAGAGCAGTACGTTAATACATCAAACTAAAAGCCTAACTTCAAAATTTTCTTCCCCGACTTTTCAAGCCTACATCCTCATGATCTTAATCGAATATGTAATCATGTATGAAGGGATTAATACAGTATTCAGCACCATGATATATGCTACAAGAAAAAATCAAGTTGCAACCTTCATAGACGAAAAAAAAACTCCCTCTTTTCAAATGCTCGATATCCAAGAAGTTTGGGAAACAACTCATGACTCTCCTCAATCTAAAGCCGAGACATTCTAAGTGCCAACGGCACAAATTCTTGTCCTTAATTTATTCCTGTAGGTCTCTATCCTCTCTCATGCATGCCACGCTTGTCAGCGTGAGAGAGAGAGAGAGAGAGAGAGAGGGAGGGAGGGAGGGAGAGGGCAATGAAATATCCTTCATGGCATCTAAGTACCAAATGCCTTGTATGATGTAACAAAAGAATTGAAAATTAGAAAAAAAATTAAAAGGCCTCACTAAAGTCCCTTTGAGTTAGAACATTATAAATTGCAGTAGTATTTTTCGCACTGAAAATCTTTTTTTTTGTGGTTTTTTTGCATGATGTGAGGCTTTTTAAAGATCTGCTTCATGTTTTTTTTTTTGACCCGCAATGCAGGTTTCTTGGTTGTTACTTCTTGATTGAAGTCAACATCTTAGAGCTTTTTTCTTGGTGCGCTGGTGGCTTTGTCCAAAAAAAGCACAGTCTGGTTTCATTAAACTGGTGAGTTTATTAGGTTTTGGCTTGGCTTAGGTTGTTGGTTTGTGGCCGGTCAATGGATACTTGCTGGGCCTTTAGGATTTTTGATTTGTTGAGTGTTACAAAATTAGACATTAAATGCACACCTTACCACTAATGCACCCGGTTGCTTGGTGATTGTTGAGCTGGTAAATGGATGCTTGGTGAACCTTTCAGATTTTTTCTTTGTTAAGTGTTGTAGGATTAGGCATTGTTGCTTGGTGATGATTGTGAAAGTATTGTTCTGGTAATCTAGGATTAGATGTATGTTTGATTTAGAGAGAAATTTGTTGAGATTTCTATGCTTTATTGATTAGCTTTTTTAGTTTGGTTGCTGTGAGATAAATTTGTTTTTATCTATTATGGTTTCATTTGTTTTCTAATTTCTTTTTGAATTGTTGAATTCAAAGGGTTTTCATAGGAGTTGAACTAGGGACATTCATCTTTTTATTCTACTTTTTTTGTTTATATCATTGATTTCATCTCTTTTTTGGAGAGGTACATGGGGTGTATATAGTTATTTTCAAAATATATGCTTAGTTTTTTGGGATATTTTCAAAATTTTTAATGTCTTGATTTGATTGATATGTTTTATTTTTTTATTGTTAAGAATTACTGATATTTTTTTTACTATGTTTGTTTAGCAGTTAGCTATTAAAAATTTTGTACTTTTTATATAATGATAATTTATCATTATTGTTGTTGTTGTACTTCATTAACAAAGTTCTTTGTGCTTATAAAGTTTGATATGTATGTACTTCCAATTTCTTTAGCTTTGTTTAATTTTAATTTGTATTCTTTATTTTTTTTAAAGCTTGGTTGTTGTTTTGTTAATTGGGTTTTATGTATGTTATTATGATTTTAAAAGTTCTTTTAGATTATTTAGTTGTTGTATATCTTTTTATTATTATTATTTATGTTGTATACGGTAATAGTTTATCATCGTGGTTGTTGTTGTTATTTATTTTATTAAGAAAAAATAAATATATTATGAAACTTTAAAATTAATTTTTATGTTGTTGTGGCGATTATTTTTAAAAGTATTTTTAATTTAAAAATATATAAAATAATATTTTTTATTTATTAAAATTAATACACCCAAAGGGTTTTCATAGGAGTTGAACTAGGATTGAATGAGACATTTATCTTTTTATTATACTATTTTATATATATATATATCATTGATTTCATCTCTCTTTTGGAGAGGTACATGGGGTGTATATAGTTGTTTTCAAAATATATGCTTAGTTTTTTGGAATATTTTCAAAAATTTTAATGTTTTGATTTGATTGATATGTTTTATTTTTTGATTGTTAAAAATTACTGATATTTTTTTTATTATGTTTGTTTAGTAGTTAGCTATTAAGAATCTCGAGCACTTTATTTAATGACAGTTTATCATTGTAGCTGTTGTTGTTGTATTTCAGTTAACAAAGTTCTTTACGCTTATAAATTATGGCAATTCCTTGGAGCCATCACCATTCATCCCCACCAACATTAAATCAGAAGGCAATTAGACAACAAAGGAACCCTACCACCATTGAATTTAATATTTCCATTGAGCTTTGAAGCTTATCACTCACTCTCCTCTCCGAATAGGAAATGCATCTTTTCAATGTCTTCATCACATAACATACCAACTTACATGACAGAGTACTGAACACTACAAATGTGCCTGTTTCGAAATTTGCCCACCATTATAGTGTTTACCCCAGAAACACTGGAGAAGAAATGTACAGGCAAAAAAAATGAAACAGAAAGTTATGGTGAATAAGAATCATATGCCGGTGTGATCCTATCTGCGTGGATGGATGGCTTGCTTGCTTGCTATCATCAAAGTAATCCAACCGTGATCAAAATCACTCGATGAATGCACACGTGTGCATGCTCTCACATTTATCTATAAGGATGGGTAGATCTACCCATACATGCATCATCTATAAAAAAAAAAGAAATAAAAAAAAAAAGCAAGCATCTAAGAGCATTTATACTGAAGACAGAGAAGTGAAGCAGTTTTATTTGTTTAGGAGAGGATGAGGAGCACTGGAGGCAGAATCGATTTACCATGAGATTATGATCTTGACCACGGATGGGATTAATGTCCAATGTCAACCTTAAGTTTCTCTACTTAATCCAAAAGAGAACCATGTAAAGTTGGCTTGATTTGAGGAGGGAAAAGATAAAGATGGATGGAAGTGGGGAATCCTAAGCTTGACAAGGGCAACAGTAAAGATGACATAAGCATTGTCCCGTGAAACACCGAGCATTGGGCTAGTGGGGTTGCTGTATTGAGACCAAATAAATAAATAAAAAAACGTCCAATTTAACTTCATTTCCAAAATTGTTAAATCTATCTCCATTTGTTTCCCCTCCCCTGCTTCGATCTAACCCTTCGAGCCTGCCACAATCATTCCATCTCTTCCCTGCTCATTTTCCCTCCATACACTTCCTAGAAGTTCAGATTCGTGAAGATATGATCTTCCAGGAAGAAGCGATCGAAATAAAAACCAGCAAGCACGAAAATGAAATGGTGGGCAACCACAACAACAATGAAGGTTATAATGATAACAATCCAGGAGAGTGGCTGAATCTGAGACTAGGTGGAAATCCACCCTCAACAGCAGGAGATTATGACTCGCAATCAAGACCTACTTCTAGCAAGGTTTTCTCATGTAATTTCTGTAGAAGGAAGTTCTTCAGTTCTCAGGCACTTGGGGGTCATCAGAACGCCCACAAGAGAGAGAGAGGTGCGGCCAGAAGATACCACTCCCAGAGGATGATGACAATGATGGGCTTGCCTATCAATTCTCCAATGGCTAGATCACTTGGGGTCAGGCCCCATGCCGTTGTGCACAAGCCAACCAGAGATGGAACTCCTACTGGAGGGAGATTTAATGAAGCCAATCCAGGATTTGTTATGTCATGGATGCCCTTCGCACTTGATGATACAACGGATTTGACATGGCCAGGCAGTTTTCGCTTGGATCCACAGCTACCAGAGACATCATCGGAGTCACTCAAGCTTGACTTGAACCTCCGACTCTAATCAAACCCCCTGCTGTGATTCCCAATTTTCTTCACGTGGAACAGTTTTTGAAGTGCCATCTAATACAGAAACTAATACAGGTGGGCAACCAACCCTTTGAAATGTTAAAAATCATGCCAATTCTGCTTGGTCAAACTAGAAGAAACATGGAAAATGCCCTACAACCATGTATGCTCGTCATGTCCAAGAAACATGGGAAATCCCCATCCCCCCCTTTAGTTCAATTTCTGGAAAAAATAAATGCCCGGAACCATATTTATATGGCACCTAACATATAGGGGTTCTTTAGATCCTTATCAACCTCCATTTTCAAGCCACTGTACATTTCTTTTTAGAGTGATGATAATTTTGTTTGTTTGTTTGTTTTTGCAATAATTATACCATTTTACACCTTCAGTAATTATTCTCTCTTTCACGTAATGATTATGCTGTTTGACATCATTGGACCTTTTTTTTATTCAATTAAAAGTTTTTTGAGCAATTATTTTTTATGCAATAATTATCCATTTTACACCACAGGTAATTATTCTTTTGCAGATATGACTTATAAATAGTTGTTGGAACACCCTAACACAAACCAGACAGTGCCAAGAAGGGAAGGATTATAATGGAAGGAAAACAATTAACAGTTTAACACCATTTGAGATCATGTGTTAGCTCTCTCTGTTCCCGATATGGCTCTCCAAGTGGCATTTTACATTTTAACATTGCCCTTATTTCTTGCTTATATGTCCAAAGATCGCTCAATAGCCAAAACGGATCCATATGGCTGACCCCAACTACTTTCGGATTGAGGCTTGGCTGATGTTATTGTTGTTCGAATTTTCCTTATGGTACCGGCTTCGAAGGTCTTATCGGGCAGCTCAAAAGCTCCCTGGGACGCCTTCCATGTGCCTTCCTTTCCTCTTTTGTTTTAGCATCTTTTCTCATGCTTTTCTTTGGCAAAGAACCAATAAAAGTCAAAGTTTTCTATGCTAAAATCTTGAATTCTTTCAATACGTCACTAGAAGTCTTGAAATCAACCCAGTATCATGCATATCCTTGGACTATTATCTCCTCATCTTCCTATTCAAAGAGCCCCAGCTTCGCCATATTCCATAGAATCTCCGGGTCTTTCCTATCTACTATAGTTTTGTTTTTTTATCCTATTTATCTGAAAATGGATTTGATTTGCTTCAGTTATGAGAATTCCTACCATTTCTTCTTTCATTCATCCAAGATGATCCTAATCTCCGTCGATATTACTGCCGGCCTTGCGCTGGCCTATCATCTGTATAGTGGAATTTGTCATTTAATTTAAAAGGGCTTAACCATGGCAAATCACGAGGCAACTGAGTTTTTGTGATCAATCTCTTTTCGGGCAATCACAGTACCCTTGTCCGTGGAAGTTGACTACCCGAGAAGCAAAGGGAGAAACTAGCCTAGACTGTCTCCGAATTGATTTATCATCTCCTAGTTGGAAAAAAATAATTGATCTAATAGGGTAGTTCTTCTATTATTCCTGCCTCGGTCCATGTCCTTTATGACCCTTATCTTCTTGCAGAAGCATTTTGCACTTGTATCAATTTCTCTGATATAACATAATACATTTCGTTTAGAAAACTGTTCAAACCGTGTTTTCTTAAACTTGGATTATTGTTATTTTTGTTAAAAATATTTTTATATATTTTCAAATCATTTTATGTAATCTCAAAAATAATTTTAAAAAAATAAAAAATATTATTTTAATACATTTCTAAAAAAAAAAACACATTAAACCTCAAACACTTCCACAATCTCAAACAACCCATCTTCCGGTCCTGGATTGTTTTGTTTGCATATCCCATCCCAACATGCTCAGTTAATTATACTCGCTCATGTGCGTGTTTCTCCAAAACCACCCATTACTTTATAGTTTATAGATGTAAATCATTTGACGCTGTCAATCCTCCCAACTAACTTGATGTCTCCATGAACATGGTCAGGAAACACCAAATGAAAATGTCAATCAGGAGATCATTATCTATCATTGATGATGGGTAGGTTTCTTTATCCCTTGCAAAGAGTTCTGTTAACTCCTTGCTTTCCTATTCCCTTGTCATCTGAGCACTTCTTACACTTCATTTTCTTAACTGTGGTAATGTATTTCAGTTAATACAGCACTCCAAGAGCTTTTCTTTCCTTCTCATTCTGCTTCCTTTCTACACTCTAAATATAGCTCATATGCTCTAGTGGTGCTTATGCATCTCAGTTTGTCCTAGTTACAATGTCATGTGCATGTTTTCCTATTAGTTTCTGCATCCCATTCTCATCCGATGTAGAAACAATTTTCACAAACATGAAAACAGAATATCTTAAACTAATATCTTTGTTCATCCATTGAATATCGTTTCCTTTTTCTCTTTCCACAAATAAAATCATAAAATAGTTTACAGTCTAATAAGCAAATAAAATCCACAATCCACGTGAAAAGACTTCATTTCTATATGGCCTCAACATTGTAAGCAATTCAAATCTTCATGCACAAAGACAATTTACAGCCTCAAAAATTACAGTGGACCTTAAGCTTTTGAGTCTTGTGTACGATGACGGGAAGCCTTTGGCTGATGATGCTTGGATCACTATATGAAGCAGAATCTGTAGGATATCCTTTCTGCAAAATAACATAACAGAAAGTGATGCATAAAAATTGGAGAACTCCTGTTACACAAGTAGACTGTACTACACTTAGAAATATATCTAAGAAAAGCATTACTTGCCTACAGAGAAAGAGAAAAAAATAGATACCCATTCGAGATCAGGAAGACATAAAAAATGATTACCCGATTTAAACAGCCTAAGTGGATGCATATTAAAACATTATGAATTTACAGTGATAATACTGTGACATTTATATCAATGCAATGAAACATGTACAGGCCACACACTTCCACATAGAACCAACTTATTTGAGAACTTCTGCAGTCATACTAATAGGACAAAGTGCAGAAATTAGCAGATTCAAAGATGTGTAAATGACAGAAACATGTATTTTAAACAGCAGCACGTCCTATGCCTAGACTTTCCCAGGACATGCTGGACTGCTTATTCTGTTCATCCTCTAGGAAAAATTCTGTACTTCTATCTTTCTATCCAGATTGGCTTTTCCTTTTGCTCCTCGCTCCTCTTTTACACACAATTTTGAAAGCTGTTTGCACTACTGCTATTTTTTAGAAATAACTAGATGATCGTTCCTATGATAACACTCCCAGAAAAAACTATCTTTACAGCTTCTGAAAAAGTAGAGACCAGGAAAATAAAGGTAATAAACACCCACCACACATACACACATCTAGCCATGCATGTGCTCTTTATTGTGGGTGGGTGGGTGGGTGGGTAGATAGGGAGAGGAAGGGAGAGGGAAGGGGAGGGAGAAAGAGGTTACAGCAGCCAGAGCTTCAAAGGTGGCTTCTCTCCAGCAGCTTTCTCGAAGAACAATAGGATTTGCACTTTCACTAAAAGCACAATGCATACGAGTGTCCCTTAATCTCATTAGCACCCCATCAACTCTAAGCTGTAACAGAGGAGGTCGACAAGAGAAATTTAGTGAAACAATATAAAAGTGAAGAAAAAATGTCCCTTTTCAGGAAAGGAAAATGTTTAAAGCTTCTTTATACCAAGCATTGATACATGCACACATGTACAAAGAAAGAAATGGAGCAGTTTTACTGAAATGGATGTGCAAATTGAGTAAAAAATAATGATGATTAACTCACCCAGAATTGCAAAAGAAGAAACCAGCAACTTGGCATGACTCTCTACAAAACTCAAAGAGGAGATAATCAATTCTTTGGAAACTGATTATCAGGCAGCATATCGTATCAGTACTTAGAACAACTAGTAAAAGTTTCAGTATTTACCACTTTTACAGTTAAAAGTGACACCCCATTATCAGCCAGTTCATCTTCATACAAGACTACCTGTGGAATTAAACAGATTATTTAATCATGACACCCATAAATACCAGGAAGAGAATGAATTTCAAATTTCATGAATTTATGCTCTTAGTGTTACACAAGGAGTCAACCTCATCATAGAAAAGAATAGGCTCTTTTGAAGCAAGTGCAACCACATCAATTTGCTCTTCACAGTCTTCCCAACAGGGGCTGCAGCTAGCCTCCAAAATTCCCCCGCTGTCTTTCTGATCACAAAACCAAGGATATGATTTGCAACGTGTTCTTACACAAAACCAAATGACACGAGAAAGAGAACAGTCATTTTTTTATATATTTAACAAAAGCTTAATTACACTATATTTGAGCCAGCTTATGTTTTTGATTCATCAATGGTCAATCTCAGCCATGGTTAACATAAATTTTTTAAAAAAAAATCCAAGTCATGTCATAGCCTTCACAGTAAACCCAAATAACCTAACTAAAAAAAAGTTATAATCAGGACCTCTTTTGAAGTTGTTAACGTTTTGAAGGGGAAAAAATGGCAAGAAGAAAGATGAAATAACAAAGAAAAGAAAAACAGAAAATCCAACATTAAACTAGAAAGTGCTAACGTAAAAATTCTCAACAAGGAGGACATGAATTAATCCATTAAGTCCGCCTACTTAGAACATGACTTTAACCTCCAACATAAAACATCCTATAGCAACAAGTCTTCACTTTATTCTCTGCCAACCACAAACACAACAAAAGGTTTGTTAAGTGACAGAACAGACCTTCTCTATATCCAATTCCATTGTTTCACTACCACAATAAGGCGTCGTGAATGTATAATCATAATCCAATATCACCTGCTGGAATGGTTTGCTGTAAGTTGAATTCACACCAAGTGTTAGCACAAGCTAAAAACAATCTCTCTTGCCTCATGCTCCTACACGTTACTATATCAAAAATTGAAACAATTGAATGTCTATTAACACAATGAGCTTCTGGATGCCATATATTGATGCAATTAAATTCAAACAAATACTTAAAATTACCTTCTAGATTTCCATTGTGCAGCAGCAGGGACTTCGACCGGAGGTAAAGCCTCTTGTTTCCAGCCAGTTAGGGCATCAAACGCATTGAAATGAATTTTGGTACCACTAGTCGCATGTTTAAGTTCTAAACAACTTTCTCCAAAAACCATCTCTGGTAAATGAGAAGTTTTTAGCTTGTCTTCCCATCTGCGGCAATCGCATCAACCATCAAAAACTCTAAAATTAACCATTTGTACTCAGATTGGCATGAGACACTTCAATTGGGTGCAGATTTGAAACTTATTTAGAAAGAGAGGGAGAGTACGTGATCAGAGAGGAGGACTTGAGAATGGCGCCGTTGCAAGATACGATTTCCCAGCCATGGATGCGGAGTCCATGACGGCCATCGGTTAAAATCTCGGCGCCAGCGGCTTTTAGGTCTTTGTCATCGACTTCCACATCCATCGCGATGGATTTTTTATTACGGATTCGGTCGGTGTGGCAGTTTTTCTGCTTCTCTCTGGCCTTTTCGGGTCTTAACTCTTAACCATGAGCATCGCGATTTTATTAGGCATTCCGGGTACGAGATTTGACGGGTTCGGGTTGGGCCGAAAAAGCAGATCCAATTTAGTAATAGATTGTTAAGAATAGAAGGGCAATTTTTATAGTTACTCTTTTTCATTCTCATTTTTAACCTAATTCTATAGTTAATCGACTTCGAAGTTCGAACACCAAGCGACATGGTAAAATGTACCGAAAATAAGCAAAAACATTTAATGGTTGATTGATATTTAATCTCTTAAAATTTGCTTTCTAAGAAAAATAAAAGCATTTTACCTCGATAGTGGTAAGATTATTGAATTTTTTTCACTAGGTTTTACATGGTAAATGACATGGCATCTATTTTAAATAAAAAATTTAAAATCATTAAATATGATTTTTATTACATTTAATGAAATAATTTATTACTTTCCTAGATTAAAAAAATAAAACATAAAACTTTATTCAAATTATAAAAAATTCTTTGATATCATTATTAAATTAACCTATTAAGTTAAACATAAAATACTCCACTCTAATCCTTGTCAAGTTTTGATTTTCAATTAAATTATTTAGGAATTGTGATGATATGATCCAATTAATTTAACAAATTTTAAAATAAAAAATAAAAAATAACATGAAAAATAAAACCAAATATGTAAATTTAAAAGTAATTTAAATGATCATTAAAAAGAAATTTGGCTTTTAAAAATAAAAATTAAAGTTTTTTTATAATATTAAAATGATAATATATTATATCAATTCAAACTCATTAAATTATTAAACATATGACTTGGATTGTGAATTTTAATGGTTCAATAATATTTTTAAAATTTTAATTATATAATAAAAAAATAAAAAATAATTTAATATTCATTAAAAAAATTAAAAAAAAAAAACAATTTGATGGAGCACACCTTCCTAAATGGTCGAACAAGTCAGAGTTTTTTTTTTTAAAAAACAAAGTCACCGTCATTTTTTTAAAGTTCATTTCTCGACATCAACCATTCTTTTTTAAATGAAACTAAAAAATTCTCATAAATTTAAAATGAAATGTATATTTTCTTAATGTTTTAATTTAGAGTTTAATTTTATATAATTAAACTCTAAAATGATATATTTAAAAGAAAGTTATTTTTTTATTAAAAAAGCTAAACAGTAGGTTCATTGTTTATACGTAGTTAATAAATTTTTTTTCTTAGTATTTATTAATTATAAAACTTAATAACTAATAAAACATCATTTATATAATGCCTTGTCATTTGGTAAAGAATCTAAGTAAAATAAATAAAAAAAAGTATCTTTAGTCTTATCCTTTGAATTTTTTCTCTGTAAATGGAGGTTAAATTCTTTAGAAGTTCATCCACACTTACATTTATGAGAAATTATTCTCTAGCGGTCCCTTTTAAATTCACATGCGGGATGACAACGGGTTCTAAATTATTTATTCAACATTGTTATCAAATAAAAATAAAAACATTCCCTTTTCTTTTAAACCATGTTTTTTTTTTGTTTCCCAAGACCCGGAAGTTGTATTGCATTATCTGTAACCAGCATAGTTACAAGATATTTTAGATGGAATATGAATTTCTTACATCACAACAACAATTAATGTGCCTCTTTTCTTGGGGGTGTTCGAATATCAAGATGCTTCAAATCTTTAGAATACCATTTATTTTCCAATCACAAACAAACCTTTCTTTTATATATAAATAAATAAATAAATACATATATATATATATAATGTAAAATGCCGATCTGTGTTTCAGAAGATTAGTTTTTCTTAATATGCTTTTCGTTTTAAATTTAATCATTGTGCTAAGTGCTAAGAGATGTATAAAGTATCAACCTTTCAAATTACAAGAGGACTACGTGTTTGCATTTTAGTGCAAGAACACTAACCGTTTTAAGCTCTACTTACCTCCTCTACCTATATTTTTCATTTTTTGGCCATGAGGTAACCTGTCAAATAATAGCACTAAGCTCCCATGTTGCCCATAATTAATTCTACAAAGATTCCTTCAACTGAACCCCTGAACAGCATTTAGATTGAAACATAAGTATTTTCTTCCAGATTTTCTACCCTCGTTTTTAGCATCAAAAGATTTCTTACTTGGGAGCAAAACTCTTGAGAGGTAGAAACTAGAAGAGACTGAAAATGTAACCTTTTACCTGGGATCAAAACCATAGGGATTTTCAATGTTTCGGAGTCGAGAAACATTAGGCAAGGCATATTATGTTCCTAAAGCTAACATGATGTACAGTGTTATTTGCAAATTCAGAGTTTACTTTGAACTCCAACCATAAAAGCCTGCCATACTAATGGCTGGCCGCCAGGGTATACGAAGCTAAACGTTACCAGTTTATAATGCCATAGTCTTGAAGAAGCACCTCCAATTTAAACCACCAGCTATCAACAAGAAGTTGACTAGTACCACCATCCAATTGAGCAAGGACATCAAAAGAAAATAATGCTGTAAAATCTGCTGTATGAAAACAACACTACCTCAACGCATTCTTGAGAATCTCACAGAGCATAGCTCATTGATGGCCGCAAAGTAACACCCAGGGACTTCTGAGGGAGGAGATAAAGTTGCCACATGCTTAAACTGTCCCAAGGAAAACAGAAGAGAAGGAAGGAATATCACCATATTAATATTTATTAGCTGCAACCCCATGACCTAAATGTTATAAGCCATAGTTGTGCAATCAACAGAAAAATAGCGGGAATCCAATGAATCATATAGCCATTTCTCAAACCAGTTTCTTTGGAAGGTAAGCACATGAGATCAGAAACAAATGCAGATACTGTAAACTGGAATACCTTGTTCTGTGTGTATTTATCTCTCACTGCTCGCGAAGAGCTTCCTTTTCTATTTAATTGAATGTCATGAATAGCAAGAACACATTCCTTAAGGTCAGATGGTCTGTAACCTGAGTGACGCTGCAATGCCATACTCTGAAGAGACACAAAAAAATAATTAGAAAGAAAACATTTGCAAATGATGCAGCAATCTTAAAGTAGGACTAAAATTCAAGATTTCCTGATTTTATCATCTATCTCTCAATATCCAGGAAATTATTCACTTCTGCCTGTTGCGATCAGCCCGAGCCACTTCCAGTTCTGAATATTCATAATCTTTTCTCATAATGAGTTTGTAAATGCTATTACAAAATCACAAACCAACGAATTTAGGATTGGCTGCCCGTGTTCTTTACACTATTAAGGATATTTCCAAATATCAATGTCTCTCCAAAGCTGAGAATTGCAATTCTAGCTCAAGTCTACAATTAAAATTCTCAGGCATAATGAAATATTCAGAAACTTGAATATTCCAAGGAAATTATATTTTTTACCCAAGGATGCATCTGTGGCTGGATCGTGAAACTTGAAAGGAAAACAGCTGACGCAGCAATCATTGATGGTAAGAAGCGCATGCACCGATATTCTAACAAACTTAGCTCTGCCAGATAACAACTCAAGGGCTCGAATTGCAAATCAGAAGACTGAAAAGAAGATTTTCGACAAGTAAGAATTAGTTAAAGGTGAAAGAAAAAGGAGAACAAGCAAAAAAACATTCTGAACACAGCATAAATAGGATAGCCTACTTCGCAATTCTCTTGAGCAGCTTTCAGCAAGATTCTGCATATCCAAAATGATGTGTTGTTAGTGGGACTGGCTATCAGGCAGGAATCATACATGGGACAAGGAAAAAGAATTCATTAAATGCAACAACCTACTGCCAGCCTTTAAAAGAAAAAAAAACTTGCCTGAGAAAATTTATTGTTGTAGGAGCACCCATTTCATAGTTCAATGATTTAAGTACTTGTTTCTCCATATCAAGTACCTGCACATTTACCCAAATTAAATACTAAACCAAAAACATGAAACCGAAGTGCTGAGTTTAGCTGCCAAAAATTGATGAAAAATAAAATAATTGAAGTTCGCATCAAGCAATTCTTAAAACATGAAAAATTTGAATACATAATACAACTAGTTCAGTTACTTAACAAGTTCAATTTCAGTTTAATTTGTTTCAGTTACTCAACAAGTTCAATTTCAGTTTAATTTATTTCCCTTAATGTTATAGAGAGACACACCTGATCCTTGGTGTAAGTGTTGTCTGTTATGTGGCAGAAGCTATCGACATGTGGAGGACTAATCTCTTCATACTTCCTGCGTCATCAAAGCATTAGCAATTAGCATTACAAAGGTGGAACAGCAATGAATAACTAACAGAAAACAGAACAACAATATAGAGAGTCGTCTTTTTACGAGGCAATAAGCATGCAAGAAACACCAAGAAGCTGTAGATTGTTCCTTCTCAAAGCCTGTGAAGATAGAAACCTATCGATATACGATACAGTGAGATAAAGGGTGTCTGAGACAAGTCTGTATTCTTCAGCAACTTCCACTAACCAATCCACTAGAATTTCCCGCATATTGCCTGATACATCATTCTGCACCTCCCGCATGTAATTTGACAAGCACCTTCTATTGCCCTCCATCTGAATAACCAATCATTATTTTTCAATTTTGTAGTTTCCAACTATGTTATAAAAGTAAGATACTCAATTCATTTAGTGAGAAAACAAAAAGGAGCCCAGATACGTAATGAACAAATCCAAACTAAATCACCGAAATTAGAAACCACATAAACCCAACATATGAAAAAATTGTCACTTGGACCCAGCCTATGTAAAAAAGCAGTGATCCCCTATGGTAGAATTGATTTACTAAATCTATGAAAAAAGTACTCCAACTTGACACATACCAAATTTACATGTCAGTAAAATAGGAAACGCATCCTCCAAATCCAGAGGCAAGAGACCAAAATTTCTTTTTTTTCTCTTGTTTTCAATCATCTTACCAGTCAAAACAGTCAAAATCATTGAACGCAAAACCAAAATGAACCCAAACAAGCAGGAGTACTTATGTTGTACGGAGAGGGGGTGCGACAACATCAAAAAAATTTCCTGATCGAAGGCATAAACCTTATTT